AGGTCTGCCCAGTGCTTGCAGCACCCCAGTTTCTCTTCTTCTTGGGTAGTGGTTGTTGATAGAATCAGTCAGCAGGTGAGAAGACAAGGTAGTTCATAAAAAAAAAAAACAATAGAAAAAGAAACACAAAAAACCCCACAACCGATGTCTGTTGCCAAGTCGAGATAAGACAGGGTTGACAAAAGCCTTGGTCTTGTGTCAATATGCACAAGGCACTAGCACAAAGGCAACACCTATGGATCAATAGTGATGCTCTTCAATAGGACTGCAGGTAAATAACAGGACGGTAGGACTTGGTCTAGCAAAGATTTGCTTGTTACCACTTTACTTAAGTATTCTCTATATATAGTGCTGAGGTCAGGAACAGCCCACCTGGAGCAAACAGTTCTGGGCAGCTTCTGCTCAGCACTAGCACTGTGCAGGATTGGACCTGAGGGTGATGACTGGCTATCCCAAGCATCTCCTCCAAATTAAAGGTCTTTCCTAAAACCCCTCCATCCCATGTAGTGTCTGCCTTGTGCCATAAAATGTTGCCTAATTGTTTTCGGAAAGATCGAGTTATTACCCACAAATCAGAACAAAGGCCTTATACCCACAGTGGGATGAAATCACCTCATCAGTGGTATAAAATAGGAAGGGAAAAAAAAAAAGAACTGAGTGGGAAGTTTTACTATAGCAACCAAGTTTACATAATATCAATGCGCTTCAAGTGAAAGCTCTAGAAATGCTTAATTTGAGGTAGCTTTTCACAGGGCTAATTTTAAATGACGTTTATTTCTGAAAATTACTGATTAGTTACAGTAGCCTACAGAAGTGGAGGGGGCGTAACAAGCAGCTAAGATTTCAGTACTTAAAATCCATTGATCAACTTTAACCAATATTTTAATTTTCTTTTTAAAAGGGTTTCAGATATACGCAGGCTATTTTATTTCTCAGAATATGGTGAAGGAAAGACTACTGTGTGTTTGGTTTTGTAAATAAAAAATCCTTACTGAAGGCTTCATAATGCAAAAATGTATTCCAACGTCAGACCTCACTTACAAAGATGGTTTTGCTACAAGTAATCAGAATCTTCACAAATGGTAAAATGGTGCAGAATTGGGTCCATTATTTTTGCCTCTCAAAGAAATGCACTACTTTTTGCTTTAATTGTTAATGACTTTTACACGATTCTTTAGCTCTGTCTCAATGCTTTGTGCAACTTGTGCTGGTGTACTTTGCTTTGCTTTGCTTTTTGCTTCGTGCTCCTTCCCTCCCCCCCCCCTTTCTTGCCCCTCCAGAAGTCTGCTACTAAAAGTTAAGCTGATGGGCTTCCTCCCTTATAGGCAGGTAGGCTCACATCCCACTGCACAAACCAAAATGCTGCATTGTCTGCTCTGAGTCATGCTACTCCTTCCAGGCTCATGGTTTTCCTGGAAGGTTATTTCTTTGTGAAAGATAGCAAACAGCTCATTTGCATTCACTAACACTAGCTGGACCAGATTCCTTTTCCCCCTCGCATTAGTGGAAGATCCTGAATGATTCCACTGAATCATTTGAGCCAGCTCCAAATTTACACCGCCAACACTGAGCTCTGCTTCTGCTGCCTCTGTTAGAAACTTGCTTTGATGCCAGAGATAAGCTGAATCCCGAGCATGTTCATTGGCTTAGGGGGGAATAAAGCAGAGGATTTGAACTCTCTTCACACTGCCTTGCAGGCTTGGGAGAGAGTGAAGTCATTCGGAAACTTTCCCTTGAAGTATTTCCAACAGTAGCATTTCCTTGGCCCAATACTGGGGGGGCAAGCTGATTAGAAAATTGGCGATTATGGATTGGGTGTTTGGAGAGGGGACGTGATGTGAGCACCACACTGGATTTGGCTCTGGGATCTGGAAGGGAAGGAGGTGTCTGCCCTCTTTGTCACTTGCTGAATGAAGCCATGGGCAGTGATGTCACAGTGAGCTCATACGTGCGACAGCAACTCACCGCTCAGTCCTGGCCTTCTGCAGCCGAACTTTCTGTGTGGTTTTCAGTTTTCTTTGTTTTTTTTTCTGGGAAGAGGTGTTTGGTTTTCAAAGATTGAGTTGTTTAGAGAAATTGCATGTAGCTCTATGTTTGAAAAGCTGCTTGAACGGTGACTAATCTGCAAAGGTGAGGTGGAATTGCTTCATCTGCCCCACTTAGACTTACAGAGAAACCAAGGTACAAAGAATAAATGATGTTGCTGCAGGGGCAAGCAGGGTCTGGGCCTCTGAAATGAGGGGAGGATGGAGAGGAGGCAGCATGTGCGGTTGGAACAGGATTAAAGCCTGAGAACTGATGATTCCAAATTCCAGGTCCCTTCCTCAAAACTGCCATATGCTCCACCAGTCGAAAAGCTTAATATCGGCGGGCACAGCAATAATGTAGCTCCTCTAAGCCAGTGTTTAGAGCCATTGTCTGATTTATGCTGTGAAAATAATGCAGCTTCACTTGCCACCCTCCATCCTCGTTTCCCTCTGTACTGTAGTAACAGACCAGAACTTCCATTTTATCCTTAATTTTTAATAAAAGTTCCTATTTTGCACACATGTGCCGCTCAAGAATCTGGCATTAATGTTACAAATAACAGAGCTGAGCCTGTAACAGTGTGTGAAACATTCAGGGTTTTTTGTTTCTCACCACTTACCCTCTTCGATCGAGAGTTAATTCATACGCAGCCACTACATAATTTATGCCTGAGAACCAAATTATTCGAATGCAGTTTTTCCCCTCTAAGCTCTCCTTGAGTCGTATCTCAGTATCTTTTATGGAGAGGGCTTCTTTTTGCATTTGACCCTGTTCCTGCTTCTAACTTTTAAATGGCAAAAGCAAATGTGCTTTGAAAAGTGTGTTACACTGTAGTTGTTAAATAAAGCAATAACCTATGCACTTGTAATGCTTTCTCTATGACCTACTTACATACTACTTCACCCTCCTTATAGTATGATTAAAAGCTGCTTTGAATCCACTATTCCCTCAAGGGATTTGAGGCTAGAATTTAACAAACTGCTGAGAAGGCTTAAGTCAGTAAGAGGGCTTCCCTACAGCTTCTTCCAGCTAATTCACATGTAATTAAAAGGAAAATAAATATTTCAAAAGAACATACGTTTTAATGAAGCATTTTTAAGCACTTACACCTTGCAAAATGGGGCAAATTTATAAAGATCTCTCTATTCCATATGCAGATTTTAGGCAAAATTATTTGTGATTCTCTCCTCCTCCCTCTTTGCATCCTGTGCGAAGCGTGGATTTACTTTTCAGTCAGCAGCAGTGGGACTGTGGTCCTTAAAAGCGACAGGCTGGTGAGACTGAACTCCCTTAGATTTAGCATGTACCAAAAAAACTGATGATGAAGGGGTACAGATCCAGCCGCACAGGGCGAAGTGGGGGTGGAGACTTCTTACTTAAAAGAATATCTTCATCCTCACTGAGCTGCCTGTATTTCTTCCGAGCTAAAACCTGTCCCTTCTGCAGTGGCAAGATTTTGAAATTGAAAGTTAATCCAACTCTGCTCTGGGCTGGATTAACCGCCATGGAGGCCTCAGATCAAAACCCAGGTGGCTACATCCAACTGGAGAAAGTTGTGCTGGTTTCTCCCTTTCATTTGGAGTTTGCGCTTAATTTTTTTATCCGCTGTATAGTCCTACGCCGTGATGGATGTGTGGCGTAAAGGAATCACCATGAATTTAGTAAAGTGGAGCCATAGCTTTGCTTTGTGCCTTTCTACGTGGATGTTTAGGTGCCATGGTGATGGGGACAGTATGTGAATGTATAGAACAGAGCAGATTAATAACACTATAGATATCTGTTCAGGATTGCAGCTGTCCTACGGGGATTATGCTGAGGGCCAAGTGAACCTTTTCTTTCTTTAGACTTGCAAAGTAGGCAAAAATTTTAGAAGCCTGAGGGGTTTTTCATCCTTTTAACTATTTAAAATGGAAAAGTCTCTTAGTGTAATAAACTGGACCCTGAAAATTTGCTTGGTCTGTATTTTTTATTACAAAATCAACGTTGGTCAAAAGTTAAACAAAACTTGGCCTGATGTCGTATTTATTTATGGGTCACTTTAATTTTTATATTAGAACACTCTTTGAAAAGTTTAAGCGTTGTAGGTTTTAATTTGCGTTTGTTACTTTTTGCGAGTGTTGATTATCCAGAACAAATCAAATTATAAAACCTGGAGAGAGATTCAGATGGAGAAGCACACACAATGGAGAAGAACGTTCTGTCTGTCTAGACTGCTCAGATCATCCAGTAATCTTTGTAAATATGTTAATATTCTTTTGCCTGGAGAGGCTTTGTATTGAGGCAAGTAGGTTTTGGAGATGGAAAGGAAAATTTATACAGATTTTCAGGGGGCGGTGGTGTGGGGGGGGTCCTCCAGCTACTTGTATGTGTGGAATTTTGTGTGCGCCTTGGTGACACTTCTGTGTGCAGCCAACTCGGGAGAGCAGCGGGGTTGGGAGCAGGATTTTGGGAGGCTATAGCCTTGAGAAAGGATTTGCTGTCGTTACTTAAATCCCTGTTTCTGATCAGTGGGGACAGAGTTACTACCACCCAGTAACAGCACTCTGAGCGTTTAAAGGATGCCAAGGTCTGAATGGCAGGAGTTTTGAGTGGAGAGAGCCCGCACTCAGAACCTGCCCAAACCATCCCAGTGTCCCCAGTTTGGCTCCCACCGTACTGGGAAGAGCTGTGTCCGCGCTAACCACTCGCGTGTGCTCCCAGCAGTGTCAGCGTGGGGTTCTCCGCCGGTGCGGGGCTCAGCTCCCCGCACACCGCGCTGGGAGCGCGGGGCCGGGCAGCGCCGCGGAGGCGCCGGGCGGGTCTCGCCGCCCCCGGGGCCGGGTCAGGCGGTGCCCCAGAGCCCCGGGCGGGCATCCCCCGGCCCGGCGGCGGCAATAGGCCTCTCCCGGGGCGGCGGGGGCGCAGGGGTTAACGGGGAGCCGCAGCGGGGAGATGGCTCCGCCTCCCCGCTCAGCACCTGGCGCTCCACCGACAGTTGCCTCAGCAGTCGATTTCGGAGGGGATTGGCGGAAAAAACCGAGAGGGGGAGAGAAATGTGACAACTGCCGGGGCTGGCGGCTGCCGCGGGGAGGCCTCCGCACCTGTGCCTGCCGCTCCGCCGCCCGGCGCAGTTGTGGGATCCGCCGCGCCCCGCCGCATCCTCCCGCCGACCGCCGCGGCGCCCCCGGAGCCCAGCATGACTTCTTCGTTCAAGCTGGATTTCCTTCCGGAGATGATGGTCGACGGCCGCTTGCTGGTCTCTGACAGAATGTAAGTGGCGGCGGGGGCTGCCGCCGGTCCCCCCCCACCCCGCCCCGGCTCCGGGTACCGCCCGGCTCCGAGCCCCCGCCGCGGGGCTCCGGCCGCGTCCCCTCCGCACCGCCCGCCCTTCCGCGGGAGGGGAGGCGGGGGGTCGTGCCCCCACCCCCACCTTCCCAAGTCACTTGGTGGTCTCTGTGTTGTCTGTCCCCCCCTCCTGGGGTGCTCAGTGTCCCGGCAGGTCGGTGCAGGGGGCGCGGGGCGAGCACGGGGTTTTATCGGCAGCTGCTGCTGTTGTTGCTGATGCAACGTGGAGGAAGAAACGCGCATCGGTCGCGCGTAGCTGAGCGCTCTCCCCTCAGTGCCCAGCGGGTCCCTCCACAGACACCTGTCCCCTGCACCCAGCCCGGACCCACCCGTGTCTCCTCACCCTTTCCCGGCAGAATAAAAATCCCTCTGCGAAAGCTTCATCAGTTTTCAAATTCAGATGAAATACTAAGCACCTACTGGGAGGGAGACCAGGCAGATAGCAAGCATTTGGCTTGTGGTTTTTTGTAAGTCTTTCTGTTTGTTTGTTTGTTGTTTGGTGGTTTGTTTTTTTTAATACTGTCCCCAGCAGCTGCCCTGGTACGGCGAGTGTTAATTAGGGTGAGGATGGTTGCTTTACGTGTGCAGTTAAAGTGGGGATGAGATGTATTGGAAGGCATTGAATGCTGGAATTTCAGAAGGAGAAGCCCGGCTCTGCTCCATTAATCTTGATCTGAAAGTTTCTATTATCATCCTCTTGGGCATTACCAGTTGACAGGTATTTTCAGGTAACCTAAGCCTTATATGAAAAAATAAAAGCCAGAAACGAGGAAGTAATCGCTTGCTGAAAGATATGGAGGCTGAGAACTGTGCTGCCTTTTTACAGTATCCAAAATATCTTTTATATTGTTGCTTTTTGTTCTTTTATCAGGATGACAAATGTGGTTTGAGTTACATTAGAATGAAGCGAGAGGTTTTGGCACTGACTCTGCACTGGAGCTGTTCTGGTTGAGGCAGCGCTTAAGTTACAAGTGTAAATAAACCCGTGTGTGCAGCAGAGTGTCACCTGCGATTTGCACAAATCAGGTTGCACACTGTGCCCCCATCTAAGACTATTCAGACTTTTATTACCTTTTTTACTGGCAGCCAAACTTTCTCCTAAGGTGGAGTGCTTTCCCTTGTACCAGCAGTGTTCTGCATGGAGCTATTCGGTAGTGGCCAGTTGTTCAAGCAGCTGAGATTTAGGAAGTGTGTGGGAGAGGGGCAAGAGTCAAGAAGATACTTAGTGTGGGTGACTTACACTATTTTTACAGTCCTTGAAGGACAGCAGAGGGTGCATCATTGCCTCTTGTCTTAATTTTGTTGTCTTAAATTCTAAAGAGTTCTGTGCTATGTTTTTCCCATGGTAGGATCCCTGTTTTGCTATCAGTCAGTTTTGGTAAAAGTGCTGCCAGTTCTCCCCTTTTGCAGAAAAATTGCATAGGTTTGACTATTAGGGAACAAAGTAGAAGCTGAACATTTCTATCTCTTGCTTTGCAGCCCTCTGTAGGGACCTGCCACAGTCAAGCTTTCCCTTGTTTTCATTGTCTCAGCTTTGATTACACTTTCTACCTGCTGTCCTTCCAGGCAGTCAGAAATGATCCAGCTAACAAACATCTCCTACCTCAAAGGCACCATTAACTGTAGCTGATGATGCCCTGTTGTCGCTTAGTCTTATATAACTTTATCTCCACCTTGCCCCTTGAGGGGGGAGTACCATGTCAAACTCTTGCTTCTGCATTGCTCATACTCCTTTTTTCAGGGAAGCATCCATAATATATTTTAACACAGCTTGAAACACAGTTAATGTTCATTGGACAGAGATCTTAATGTGTGTCCACAGGAAAAAAAAGAATGATCTAGAGAAATGTCAGCTTCTAAGTGGACCTCAAAATACAGAAGTTTGATAACGGAGTTGTTAAATACACACATTCTTGTAGATTTTGTTGCTGGTTTCTCATGTATTTGGGGGGGCAGGGAGGGAATTTAGTAATTTCTTGAAGAAAAAACCTTTACCTCCTGCATCATCAGTGGTTGTGTTGTGATGTGCTTCCTTGCATTAACCAAGCTTTGCTTTGCTGCTGATCTAAGTGATTGTGAAGATGGTACGATTTCAAGGGATCATGTGTCATGCATGCAAATTAATATTGAGGCTAAATTGCCATTAACTCAGGGAGCTTCTGTTTCTAACAAAAATAGTCCTGAAACTAAATGCTCTGCGTGGGAGCTTTGCCACACTGCCTTTCTAAAACTCTGTCACTCACTGTTTAAAACCATCCTTACTTCGTCCTTCCCAGCCAAGTGGTGACATGCGTTTATTTGCAAGTCCCCAGCTCTCTGGGCTAATCAGTGCTGACGAGAATGCGGTTTGATTACGCATAAGGGGTCAGGGGCACGATGCACCTTCCCCTTTATCTGGCCCACCCCGGGCACGCAGGGAGCTGCCGGCGGTGTTCAGCGGGGTGGCACAGAGCATCCGAGAGCACGCTCCAAGTTACAGCGCTGCACAAAACTTTTAACCTCGCCATCTGCTCCAGCCATTGAGTGCAGCTCGGTTCAGTCTGCAGCAGAAAGGAATTTCGTATTTCAGAGTGAGGCAGTTAGCAAAATATACGTATAACACTTCTGTTTCACAGCAGAAATTGGCTAAACTACATTTGTTTGTGGGGTTTTTTTATATGCCGGTGGCGTATCAGATGTTTTGGGAAATCGGTACCATACAATATCACTTACACTTCCCATTCTTTACACATTTAAAAGTTCTTATACAGGGAATTCTTCTCAGAATCATCCATTCTTTCAACAAGTAACAGAGAAAGGGAATTTAGAAGGAATAACTTCCAGTGCATACCTATTGTGAAACTTAACTGCCAGCTTGATAATTGCAAAGTTAAAATGCTCTTACCTCTGTGAGAATGTTAATTGCTCTTAAATGTTGCTTCCTTTCAAATTTTGCTGCTGCTATTATCTAGCTAAATGGAAGTAAAATAGAACATCAGATACGTTGAGCATGACTGTGTATAATTAAACTGTATGCATGGCATCAGTGTACCTGGTTAGTAACTGAATGGCTATGTACTAGTAAAAGTTAATTAATGACATGGCATTGGAAAATAGATACTCCAGGATATGAAGCATAAAGATGCATGAACTCCTGTTCTTGAGGGCAGATGGCAATTTGGATGCTCTAACCATAGTAAATGCTTGCTAAGAGACTGCTCGTTTAGTGCTCGAGGAAGGATCAGGAATTGTTTGACTGCTGTTATGCATAGTCTGTGTGTGCTCACTGCGGGGAAGAAGCAATTCTTAAGAAAATACATAGGTGTATGGAGGTGAAATTTATAAGTGAAATGTGTGTGTATATTTGGACAGGGCAGGAGAGGGTTAATAGCAAGTGAGGTTATAAAACCTGAGTTCAATGTAATTTGCTTAGTAATTTCACTGGCTTACATGTACATGCCAACTGAATGATTGTAAAGTGGTTGCTTTGAGGATTAAATACTCATCACTGTAACCCTCCATGTTGATTTCTGCAGTACCACTGAAGATTTTTCCATCCCAGGTTACACATTCCAGTGCCTGGGATTACCTTTAATATAAATGAGTAACAATGTTTGTTACTACTGAAACAAACTCAAATATGAGTTTAATTTTTGGTAGCTGGGTGTAATGCCAATAAAATATATTATCCTTAAACAGTGCGCATGCAACTGCATGGGTTACGTGGCAATTATGTGTAAAAATATTTAGCTTTTGAATTCCTGCCTCCCTTAATCCAAGATGAGTCAAAATCAGATATACATGCAGTATGCTAATTACAAAGCCCATGAAGATCAATTTTTGATACTTTTTGTTTGTTTGTATTTATTGTTTAGTAAATAAGGAATGTCAGCACTCAAAGGGCATTCTTGCACTTTAAAATCCAGAACTTCCATTTCTGCACTATACCTGCAAAATAGGACTTTTTTTAGCATAAACTGGAGAAAATAAATTTATTTTTTTAAACTTCAGTGCAGGGAAATTCAATTTACTCGCAAAAATAATTTTTTTAATATCTGGTCTTTTTTACATCTAGAACATCAAACCATGATTTGCTAACTGAAAATGGGTAGTTGGGTATCAGGTATTTTCTAAGTCTGTAGTCTCATCCTTATACTGGCATTTTATTTTAACTCTGATTCAGTAATTGCTTTACTTAAAGTAATATGACTTGTAACTTAAGTTACATGCATGACAGATTCCTTGGGCCACTACTGAGTAAAAGCAAAGCAAAAGAAGAAGAAAATTCTTGACTGTCACCAAAAGCTTCAGAAAAGAAAATAAATCTTTGGATTTCTATTAAGTAATTACAATTTCATGGTGTCCTCCTCCCCATCATCTTTTCTAGAACCTCATTCAGTAGTTAACCTATGATAACTCTCAACACATCAATATTTAAATATATCTTTCACTTCCTATGATACGATCTCACAAGTTTTTAAGCCTCCCCCACATGTATTCATCATCCAAATTAATCATCAGTTATGATTGCTTTAAAAACTTTGATAACTCTAAATATTTCATTGGCATTTTAGGATGTTTGATATCTTATGAGCATTTGGACGATTCAAATTTCATAATTAATTCATGGATTAATATAAAAATATTTGACCAAACCAATATAGGGTAAAGGTGTACAAAATCTTTTAATTTTTAAAAGTTCCCAGAATGCAAGGAATACACTTTGGCAAGACAACGTTCTAGAGAGAAATCATTGTTTTATAGTTTAAACATATGAAAAACTCTTTCCTCCTGAAGTGGAGAGATGATGTTTGGGTGTTTTGTTTCTTTTTTTCTTCATTTCCACACACTGTGTTTCCTACAGGGGGTTATTTCTTGTGTGTTCATATAGTTGCAAAGTATATTGCATCTCCTGACATGGATTCCTTTGGTTAAAACAAACTGGT